CTGCATACCGATGAAGGACCAGGGCCAGAGGGAGAAATAACAGACTGGCCATTTGGTGCCGCAGCCGACAGTCACTGAGCCGCACGGACAGAGGCAGCAGAGGCAGCAGCAGACTCTCCATTGTTTAAAGCGAGGTTTTCCTGAGCACTGAGCTCCTGGTACCCCCATCCCCCTCCCCCCCGCCCGCAGCTCCTGCAGCCCCCTCGCCCCGTCCTGGCCCTTGTTCTGCGCAGGTTCTTGTCACTGGCAAACTGACCCTCAGAGAGGGCCTTTAGTAACCCCAGTGGTGTGCCAGGCCCTGGGCTGGGCACTGGGGACACGGCCATCGGCACGGCCCGGCTGTGACCGGGCACCACAGCAGCAGTGAACCAGCCCCCGACCTGCTGGCTGAGCTCCTGTGCCGTCCCGGCCGCCAGGCCAGCGAGACGGCCCGGCCTGGCCGCACCGGGAGGGCCTCGGCTCACATTTCAAACATTCACAGAAGCACAGAGACCAGCACAGCAAGCCCCAAGGAGAGAACAATGGACCGTCCTCCAGTGCCAGGTGAGGCCTCTTCCCATCCCTCTGCACCCCCACCCCGCTCCCCCTCTAAGTCACGTGAAGCCGGCTGGCTGCTCCGGTCCCTGCTCTGCCCTGGAAATCGCCCTCTGGACCCAAGGCCAGTGCCGGGCCCCGTGCTCCCCGTGCTCCCCGCCCTAAGGGGCTCAGGCAGCCGCTCCTCCCCCCAAACAGAATACATCTCCTTGGTGCAAAGCCGGCTCAGGGCGGCCTGGCGGCCCTGTCCTCACGGGCCTCTGGGCCTCTCGCTGGCCCTCCTGCAGGGTCACGCTGCTCCAACACCCCCCCCCCCCCCCCCCAGCTCAGGGGAATAAATGAAGAGCTGGGCCCTGCAGCCGCAGGGCTGACAGGCCGGCAATTCCTTCCGGGTTCATGTTCCTCTTGCATTTCCTCCCAGAGACAGGATCACTGAGAACCCATAAATCTCTGGCGGGGCTGGGCCCAGGCGAGTACATACACTGGGACTCGTAAAAGCACAGCGGGCCCCTCGGGACGGAGGGGGGAGGGGCGTGAGCCAGAGCTCCCGGGGCAGCCTTGGTCCTGTGGGGCAGACCCGCGGGCGTGGGGGGCACTGGCACCTGCTGCCGGACTCCAGCTGCGCCCCGAGGCTCGGGGTGGCTTCGGCGGTCACCTCTCCGGGCCCCCGCCCCTCCCTCAGTGTGGGTGGTGGCACTCACCTGGCAGGCGCACCATCACACGCGTCCGTGGGAGGCGTCAGCGTGGGCGTCAGAGGGACGGACCGGATGCACCGAGTGTGGCCAGGCGCCGGGGCCGGCTTCTCCGCCGGCTACTGCCCTCCCCTAACTGCCCTGTCTCCTTGGGAAACCAGGGTGGACGGGTGACAGCTCAGTTACCTGCAGCTCAGTTACCTGCAGGTCCCATCTCCGTGCTCCTCTCTCTCCTGTCCGCTGAGGGTTTAACAAACAGGCAGCAGCAGCGAGGACAGAGCAGGACCTGCCTTCCCAGTGCATGTCCCACTGTGCCCTCTGCAGCAGGGGTGGAGGGGGGCCTCAGGCGTGAACCTGCCGTGTGCCCCACGGCCCCGTTCTCCATGGGCTTCGGCACCTGTGAAGTGAGGGGTGGCTCAGCCCCCACGTGGGTCAGGGTGGAGGTGGGAGTGAACGTAAGAGGGAGAGAGACCGGGAGGTGGAGGGGTTCCCGGAGGGCAGACCCAGGACTGGGGAGTCCCTGTGCCCGGGGACGAAGGGCAGAAGCAGAGTCCTAACACCCGTTCACCCTGAGGCCCGGGCAGGTGGAACTCAGGGGCGGACGGGTGGTCCCAAGGCCTCCCCCACCAGCACTCTGAGGGCTCCCCCTCAGCCCTGGCTGCCCCCACGACATGACCCCTCTGGGCCACAGAGAATTAGGGAGGCCGAGCACAGAGGAGCAGAGAGGAGAGGAAGTGGAGAGAAAGATGTCCTTCTCTTGATCAGACCTTGCAATTTGAAGAGGGAGGGAGGGAGGGAGGAAGGGAGGAAGGGAGGGAGGGAGGGAGGGAGGGAGGGAGGGAGAGAGGGAGGGAGGGAGGGAACACGGAGGGAAAAGAGACAACAGGAATGAACTGGGAGGGAGGGTGGAGAGAGGGAGGAAGGAGGGACCTGGGAGGGAGGGGGAGGGACAAAGGGCAGCAGCAGAGAAACATGAGGGTGGGAGACACAGAGACCTGCCCAGGACGGGGAGCCCAGTGAGGGAACGCAGAGCGGAACAGGGAGACGGACGGAGGGATGGGGGAGACCGGGAAACAGGGACAGAGACAGGCAGTGGGGAGACGGCCCCTCTCAGCCTGGAGTGGACGGGCTGGGCAGAGGGCCACCTGGAGAGGTGGGCTTGGAAGGGCGGCATGGTCACCTGGTCCGCTGGGCACTGCCCCTGCTCCCGAGTCCCTGGAGAGACTCCGGGCAGACTCCGCTCCATGGCCCTACAGGCCCTGCAGGACCCCAGGACTCTCAGGAGACAGGATGGGCCTCCTGCAGGGACCGCTGACCAGGGGAAATGCGTCCCCACCCCCATATGCACCCCCCCCCCCCGTGCCCGGGGCCATCCCTCTCTCAGCCAGGCCTCCTGCCAACTAGGAGCAGCAGACCCCGTGCCTCTGGCGGCGTGGGTCCTGCTGCAGGCCCCTGGCAGTGGCCAGGGCCCGGAGGGCTGCGGGTTCTAAGAAAGCCCCGGCTGGGACGGACCTACCCCAGGGCCGGCTGCTGCTGAGCTCGCCTTGCTCTAGGAGGGAGACCGTGGGCATCAGAGCATCAGGGCAGGGCCCAGAGTGAGCGGAGAGGAGGAGCGAGGTGAGACGGGGCCTGGAGGGGCGCAGCCCCATTCAGGGGGCAGAGGGGAGCTCGCCTGCGCGCTGGGCTGCAGGCTCGGCGCCGCCTCCATCCCCGACGTGCCCGGCTGTTTCCCGGCCTCTTTGTTTCCCTTTGCCTTTGTCTCCTTTCCTCCTTTTCTCTGAAATTAAATGGGATCCAACTGCTGGCTCCCTGTGTGTTCTGCTCATGGCTCAGCCCTTTCCATTATTACCAGAAATATGTCCTCATTGTACAGCTTAATTCTGCTTATCTGGAGTGGATTAAGTGCTCACAATGACATGCAGCACTGAGTCCTGGGCATCCCTGTTAAAGGAATTCTGCTACGACCTAATTAGTTCCATAAACCAGTGGGGGGGGGGGGGGCAGAACGGGGAGCAGGAGTGGGGTGGGGGGTAGGCGGGGGAGGGGGGGAGACACAAAGGAACCTGGGGGGTGGGGTCAGGAGCCCTGGGTCCTCACCCCAGAGGCTGGTGTTCTGAGCGACACTGGGTTAGTCCCACCCTGAGGGGCTTGCATGGGGCTGGGAGGGGAGGCGGGAACCAGGGGACCCCCAGTCTTCAAGGGGCAGGCAGTGCAGTGGGGAGGAGTGCAGGCTCTGGAGCCGGAGGCTGGGGTCTGAACCCCGGCTCTGCCACTAGGGGCTGTGCCTTAGTCTCCCTGTCTCTGCGCCTGTGAAATGGGGGCCTGTGACTGGGACCGTGGCTGAGGGTGAAATGAAGGGATGACGTGCGACGGTGTGAACAGGGTGTCAGGAGGCGACCTCCCTGAGGGGTGTGCAGAAAGGCCGCCTGGGAGCCGTCCCCTTTCCCCTCCGTCCACACTAAGCTCCTCCTTGGCTGCTGCCAGCCAGGAGCAGAGGGAAGGTGGTCCTGACACAGCGAGGGAGGAGCATGCAGGGGGGCGAGCAGGAGGCAAGAGCTGAGCCATGTGAAGTGCGCAGGACTGGCAGAGCCGGGCCCCACAGCGAGGTGCTGCACGGCCTCCGTCAGCCGGTCCTGTCACCGGGTGGCCTCTGGACCTCGGTCCCGCTCTATAAAGAAGGGGTTGCCTAGACCTTTCCATCGCACCTCGCCTCCCTAACCCAGCAGGTGTTACTGAGAGGGGATCCAAAGCCCTCCTCAGGGCTGTCAGGAGCTGGGGGCAGGGCCTGCGCACAGTAGGTGCTCAGTAATGTGGGCTCCCTCGCCTTGTTGCACTCAGCAGCTTCGAGGCAGGAATCTTCCTGGAGGGATCTTTCCTACCAGGTGGCCCTCAGGGTGGGGTAGGGAGGCGGACACTGTCCAGGGTACTGCCCCGGCCTCGTGATGGACCAGGGGAGGCAGGCAGGCAGGGAAGGCGGCGGCCCCAGGGGAGCCTGCTGCCCTCAGAGCTGGCCTCCTCCCCTCCCTCCCTGGCCTGCCTTTGGAGGCTGTTTGGGCTCAGGACTGCCCTGCCTGCCTGCCTGTTCACCCAGCGCCACACGGGACTGGAGCTCGTCTTCCTCCCAGGGAAGTCGTGCAGGTGGCAAAGGTCTGGGAGAGAAGGATCTGGGTTCCAGTTTCAGTCCCAGCCTTGGTCCTCCCGCCCCCCGATGGGGAGAAGCCTGCCCTCCTTTGAGGCCTGAGACCAGTGCTGGCGTCAGTGAGGCTCACAGCACATAAGGGGCCACGCGACTCAGGCACCCATCCCCACCGTCCCCACCATCCCCACGGGCACCCGGGGCCCCAGGGGTCTCGTGTGGCCGTCCGAGCCCCCACACCTGCTGCATTCACACACCGGGGCCGTCCTCCGGCTCCAGCCTCGGGGCCGAGCCACTCACGCAGAGCCAGGCCCCACGCCTCGTCTCCAGTTTTTTAATGTTTTTCTTGTAAAACCAAAAATATAAAACTGGCAGGAGAATGGAAAACAAGTCCTGTACACTCTATATACACGAGGTCTGTGATTGAAAGCCATCGGGGAGAGAACGGGAAGACGCGGTCAGGGACCAGCACAGCCGCGGACCCTGACAGCGCCTCCGGGCACCGGCCGGTGCTGGGCGCCGCGGACCGGCACCCAGTGTGCAGAGTCCGGGCTGCGGCTCAGGCCGGTGCGCGGAGGGGGGGACACACACCGGTGGGCCAGGCAGTCTGTGGCGGAGGGCGGCGGGCGGCGGCCGCCTCAGGTGTCGGTGTAGATGGAGGGTATGTGACTGAGGCAGTGGTCGAAGGCCCCGTTGGGGAAGAAGCTGCAGACCTCGGGGCCGCTGGGCACGACGTCCTCTGGCGGCTGTGGCGGCAGCGCCGTGGGGCACGGGGCCTCGGCCAGGGCCTCGTAGCCTGTGTGGGCACAGGGTCTGGCTGGAGAACTCGGGGTGCTGCCTTGTCATCTTTCCCAGCTCCCTCCCCGCTCCCCTCCTGCCTGCAGTCCCTCACCTTGGTGCCCCCTGAGTAGGGCCTGCTCTGAGCCCTCTGACCACCCAGAGAGGGTGGGGGCGGGGGCGGGGGCGGGGGAGGCGCCAGAAGCCTTGTATTCCCAATAGGCCCAGGGCCGCTAGGGAGATAGGCACAGGCTGGCTTGGGGATTGCTCACCCAATGCTGGGCTGTGGGGCAGAATGTGGGGCAGGGGGAGGGAGGGAGAGAAGCCGGGGTATCACAGCTCCTGCCTGCAGGGGCTGGTCCCCTCCTGGCAGAAGGACCCCGCCCATCCCATCGTTTCAGGTCTCTCCACCGGACACAGGAGCCCACGGAAGGGACCAGCACTCCCTGGCACCTGCTCTGGGCTCCGTGAGGTCGTATCACTCCGGCTCACAACAGCCCTGGGGGACGAGACTCACTGTCCCACTGCGGAGCTGAGGAGATGCCCAGAGGCAAGACACTTGCCCAAGTTCAGTGGGGGAGGTGGGCTTTGGACCCAGGTCCATCTTCCATCGTTCAGGCTGTCTCCTGGGAAGGCCCTCAGCATGGGAGGGGCATGGAGAGGTCGCCTTATCCAGGCCCCGCCTGCCTTAAGGGCTCTGTGCCTGGGCTGTTGTCATGAACGTTTGTAGCCTATGACAGGCGGGCCTCAGTCTTCCCATCTGTGCAATGGGTTCAGGCTGAACTATTCCCAAGGCCCCATGGTGCCACCTTGTTCAACCTTGCATGCCTATGCTCAGCTTGGCAGAGGAGATGAGGGCAGGGTCTGGAATGGGCACTGGAAATGAGGCTACCACTCAGATAGCAGAGGCCAGGGGAAGCGAAAGAACACCCTCCCTTGCTGTGGGGGCATGGACACTGCCTCTCGGCCACTCTGAACTCTAGGCCTGGCTGCTCACCAAGGAATCCCACCTTGGGCTGGTGGGAGGCTGGTGGAGGATGGGTGGGTGAGAGCTAGCAGAGCTGTGGCCAGTGCCAGTGGCCAGTGCCTAATCACATATCAACCCACATGGGTGCAAACATGGCACACACACACCCTGTGACTGGGTACACATCAGCCTACAGCATGTATGTGACATGTGCCTACCCCAGAGGTACTTACACCATATATAAACATAGTCTGTACACACAGATGGAGTTATGGGATAGAGAACACACGAGTGTATGCATGGATGGAGAGGGGGTTCACATGATGGGCACACAGGTGTGCGCACACAGATGGGAATGAAGACCAGCATAAGCATGATGTGAGCACGTGTGTGCACACATGAGCACGTGTTCTGCAAGCTCCTTACACACTCATGGGGCTCACACTGCCTAGAACTTACCTATGCCAGCTCCATGTGCATACGCACACAGACGGGTTCCATGGACACATAAAAAGTAAGACATATGCAGACACGGGAGCATGCGTGTGAATGGGAAACACAGTCCCACAGCTTTGTGTTTGCTCTTCTGCGGCCTCGGTGCTTGTCCCTGTGACTTTATGCCTACACGCCCAGCTGCACACGCCCGCTGCCCAAGGGGCCTCCGGGACAAGGTCTCAGGCTCCTTCTGTCTTGGGATCCCCACATCCTGCCCAGGCCTTGTAGCTTCCAGCAGGACCTGGGCCCTGGCTGATCTGGGTGGGGCTTGGCTTGGAGAACTCACCCTCTGTGCCCTGCGCTGACCAGGACTGGACCAGCTGGGCTCCCACCGCCCTGCTTCTCACCCCAGCCAAGGGCATTACCTGGGGGAGCCCCAGGGCCCTGAAGGGACACGTGCAGCACAAGAGCAAGCATGACCCCAGGCTCTGTCCCTTCCTAGCAGTGGGGTCCCTCTGGACCTTTGTTTCCTCATCCATTAAACAGATCAGTGTTTCTCTCATCCCTGCTGGATCCTCAGGCCTACCACTGTGCCCCCCCCCCCCCCCCCCCCCCGCTCCACACACACACACACACACACACACACACACACACATAGTAGGTGTACAGTAAATATTCAAAGGGAACATCAACTAGACTGTGGGCTCATCTGATTCTTCTGCGTCTTCAGAAACCTGTCAGTCCAGGCACAAATGAGCCGTGGGAGGCTGTGGAGGAAGTGACTTTGGGTCGGGCAGGGTGCATGTCCCTATTCTGTGGGGTCCTGGGACCTCGCTAAGCTTCAATTTCCCCTCCACGAGCGGAAATGACTCTGCCCAGGGGGCTGTCCCAAGGCTGTGGGATAATGGGCATCAAGCACCCAGCACAGGGCCGGGCTGTGGCGGGCCTGGGTGGGGCTTACCTGTGGCAGGTAAGGGTGCACTGAGGCCGTGGTAGCCATTGGGCCGCAGGGGGTTGAAACCAGGGGCCTCCCCTGCCAGTGCATCCCCACTGGCTGCTGGCTCAGCTGCCCGGTAGCAGTCGCCATAGGGGAAGCAGTTCTGGATGGCGTGGAAGCTGCCCTGGTACCCTGCAGAGGGAGGCGGCAAGGACTGCATCAGCCAAGGAACATGCCCAGGTGGGAGGGGAACGTCTCTGCTGCGCTGTGTAGCTCTCACCGCTCCCCCTCCCCCCACAAATGCTTCCTGAACAGGCATGAGGGTGTGACTGAGAGAGGGGAGGGAGTCCCCGGTGGAGAGGTGCCAGCTCTGCCCTGCCCAGAGGGAGGGGCGCCTGGGCCTCATGTGGCTGCACCTGCATTGTCGGTGGCTGAGGAGTGCTCTGCCGAGGGCACTGCTGGCCCTTCCTTCCCCCTTCTCCTCTGAGACACCCGGTCGTCCAGCAGCAGGTGTGCTCCCTCTGCTGGGAGAGCCTTATCCATGGAACCAGCTGGCTTTCACCCTCAGCACAAACTTCCTCCAGGAAGAGTCTGCTGTCGAGTCCCTGACTCTGGCTTCTCTGGTGAGGCCTCAGTGCCGGCCGTCACTGTTACCCCGCGCCTCCCCCAGGTCGGGGTTCCATCTTCGGGCACCTAGTAGGAGTCCATGTGGTCCCACCCTCATGGGCACCCAGCAGGAGTCCGTGTGTGGACAGGAGGGGCTGCAGCCGGCGCTTACCTTGGGGGCTGGGCAGAGGCGGGGGCGGAGGGCTCTGGAAGGGCGGGTAGGGTGGCTTGCTGGGGAGCGCGGGGAAGGGCTGGCCGCCCGGAGAATGGCTCTGGGAGGACGGTGGCAGCGGTGGTGGCCCAAGCCCCTTCAGCGGGCTGACCATGGGCGAGAGGAGGCCGGGTCCCAACCTGGAGAACACGGAGGCAGCGGTGAGCAGGATGGGCTCGGGGGTGGGGTTGGGAGGCCAGAGGCACGGCCACTGCTGCCTGCTTCCCTCCAGCAATGGTGAGCTCACTAGATAACCTGCTCTACCGGGGACAGGACGGTTAGAGAGGAAGATTTCATTTCTGATTGTGTTTAAACTGGAATTAAATCCCAGACCTTGTAAGCATCAGAGCCCAAAGGAGTCAGTAAAGGAAAGCTGCCGTCTGGTGTTTAGGACCGACAGCAAGGAGCACGACCTTCGGGGGTGACAGAGCTGTGTTCGCAGCCTCCTCGGCCTCACTGGCCACGTGACTTTGGGCAAGAGGCCCGATGTCTCTGAGCCTCGGTTCCCCGCGTGGCTGCTGTGTCCCCTGCGTGACACACTGCAGCTCCTGACCCAGGGCTCAGGGCCGCCTCCCCTGCGGGATCTCGACACTGACTGTGCATGCCGCTGTGGCGCCTGGAGCAGGAGCGGGAACAGCCGCCACGAAAGCCCAGGAGACCCCTCCAAGGCACTGACAGTGCGCTCACTGCCTTCGCCTCCTGCCTGTGTCCTCACAGATCGGAAACCAAGGCTCAGAGTGGTTGCCTGGGCTAGTCCGGCCACACGGCACTGACATAGGTACGGGGAGAACAACACGGATAAAGCAATGCAGGCCAAGCACCGAGATGACGGCAGGTATGTGGTTGGCCACTCGTGAACCATCTCGTTGTGAGACAAGGGGAAGGAGACCAGCAGGTGGGCCTTGTTCCCGCGCTGAGTGGCCTCCTGTCTGTCCCCGATATCTCTCCCGGACTCACGTGCCGCCCTGGCCCACCCTCGGGCGCGAGGTGTTAGCGGAACAGATCCGTGCCTCTGAGGAAGCAGGGGAGGGGTTTGGGGAGAGGCCGGTGGCTCCATGTCTGCAGCTCTGCCGGGTCCTAGCTGCCCCTTCAGTGAGGGCCTCCTGCCGTCACTGCGTCACTGTCCCCCACTGCGCCGCCCCCACCCCGGGGTCAGGCCCAGCACTGCGGGTGCTCTGAGGGCAGCAGCAGGGCGGCCTCGCACTGCGCCTGGGTCCCCAGCCCCGCATCTGGCACCTGCAGGGACACTCCCGCCTCCTCCTGCCGATGAACTGGGTCCTCATCACGGCCCAGGGAGGACATGGCCAGCTGGAGGCCCGGCCCCACTGTGCTCCATAAACTGAGGGTCTGCGCCAGCTGTGTGCTCTCCTAACCCAGCGGTCAGCAAACTGCAGCTTGCGAGCCACATGTGGCTCTCAAGCCGCGGTTTGCTGCTCTGTGGACTGAGTTTGCCGGCCACTGCCTTAGGGAATAACACTTAAGAGACATTTTAATAATGTACTAATGTCTTTAATCTGAAGTCAAAACTTCTGGGTAAGGGTAAGGCCTTACGCAGTGGTCGGCAAGTTCATTAGTCAACAGAGCGGCAAATCACGGCTCGAGAGCCGCAGTTTGCCCACCACTGGGTCCTAACCGGTTCTCAGGCTGAGACGGGCCGAGGTGTGGCCGCAGGGTGGGTCGTCCCACGGGCCCGCTGGGTGGTGCTGTCTGTCTGTCTGATGCTCACCCCAGCCTGGCCCCCACACTCCAGCTCTCCCCCGATTTCCTGCTGGCCCCCCTCCTGCGGGAGGGCCTGGTGCTCAGGCCCCGGCCTGGCGGGCAGCAAACAGCTGGTAAGCACTAACACACGCGTGTCTGAATTGCTCAGCCACAAAACCCTGATGAGCGGCACTGCAGAACGAAGGAGAGCCAGGCCCGAAGGGGAACAAACACGCATTTCCCACGTTTGTGTTTCCTGCCTCACACCTGCCATAAACCCACATTCGCCACCTTCACAGCCAGTGACATGAAACAGAACGCGGCTCTCTCCGCAGCAGACGCGAGGGCTGAGGCTACGCGGCTCTACCTGAGCCCTTTAAAAGGAAAAAGATCCTCTGGAACTCTTCTGAGTCATGCCACTGGCTCCTAAATCAAATAGGTTTTGCTCCAATTGGAACCTATAAAAAATTAATAGGAAACCTCACTGGCCTGGCAGACGCAGGGCTTCATACCTCGTCCGGGGCCGGGCTAGAATACCACCCTATTCGGCGTCTTCCCTGAGCCAGGATAAATACATTTGGTCATGAAGCCGGGCCCTCTCAGCATATTCCTGAGTGAATCAGATAATTCTGTCCGGCCCTTAAATGTCCCAGCAAACCCCCGGGGAGCCGCTGGGGGCCTTCCCTGTTGACTTTGGCAGGAAGGGGAGGCTGCAGGCCTTCCCCCGCCTCCTTTAGGGGCTGGAAAAAGAAACCCATTCAAGCTGGGCCGGGCCTGGTGTCAGGCTGAGGGCCCCTCTCCCGCAGCCACAGCCGGAGGAGCCTGGGCGCCGGCGGCTGGGTGACTGGAGCCCGGGCTCCCGCAGGCACCGGTGGGCGGGCGGGCGGGCGGGCCGGGGGTCTGTCACGGGCTTGTCATCACTCTGCCTCCATCGCGGGAATTCCTGACGGGCACTTATACAGGCGGCAGGCAGGTGATGGATGAGGCAGAGCAGAGCGCACATGCCCGGGTGGGAAAGGCCTCCGTGGTTTATTTTGCTTTGGCGGGCGATGCTCTGGGCTGGCTGGTGGGTGAGCAGGTGGCCGGGCCGGCAGGGTGGGGCTGGTGGCCTGGATGCGGTGCCCAGTGACACAGACGGTGTCAGCACATGCAGGGGTCTCGCCCTCCCCCAGGGGGGACGGAACGCTCCCTTCACAAAGGAACTCAAGCCCTCAGGGCCCTGTCTGGCTGCCTCTCTGTGGCTATCTGTGCCCTCGCCACCACAGTCTGCCCTGGCTCCCTGCACGGCACCTCTGCCCCCCCGGGGGGGGTGGTCCTCTGATGGCCCCTCTTCTCTCCACAGCCAGCGTTTCCCTACATCTGGCTTGTTCCAGGTCACTAATGTCTCCCTGCGCTTCTCCCTGCCCACCCACAGCCCCGCTCGGTGGCCACCACCCACACCCAATGCTGCTCCAGCACCCTAGGTTAAGGTGACCAGACGTCCCACTTTTGGTGGGACAGTCCCGATTTTTAACAATTTGAATCTTTCAAAAAATCGGGACTTTTTTTAAACGCCGTGGGACGCGGGACAAATTGTTAAAAATCGGGACTGTCCGCCAAAAGCGGGGCGTCTGGTCATCTTACCCTAGCTCGCGTTGCAGGCCTCATCCCCAGCCCCGACTGCTTCCTGGTCGCACCATCACACAGTGTCCCTCCATCCTATGACCTCTCTCCAGAGCCTGTCGGCCCCCCCGGAGATCCCAGTGTCTCAGGACACACCAGGCTCTCACCACGCGTGGCCTTCACACGTGCTGCCCCTTCCCCAACCTCCTCACTCAGCCAGCTCCTTCGTAACCCAGAGGCCCAGCGAGCATCACCGCCAGGTGCCTTCCTGCTGGCCTCCCCACCACACTGGGTTCTCCTCTGCCTTCCCTCAAGCACATGTCTGTGTGGCCCATCCCTCAGGCCTGTGCCCGTCCCCTCCTCACCGGAGCTTCACCAGGCTGGGGTCGGTGCCGCAAGGCCAGCCCACACCAGGGGCTTATGTGGACTTAGAACAAAAGGGCGAGTGAGTCGCAGGAGGAGCCCCGGACAACACATTTGGCGATAAAGCCAGGTCAGCCCAGGCACAAGTTGGCCAAGACTGCGGCATCGGGGGTGGGGGGAAGGGCAGGGGAGGTGGGAGCTCTGGAGCGGGCCCTGGCGGGCAACTGGATCAATTCCTGCTGGAGATAAGCAAACGTGGCAGGGAGGCGGGAGGCAGGGCAAGGAAAGCAGGCTTTGGCAGCACTGGGGCCCAGCAATTAGCACATTCACCATTTCCAGCCCATTAAGTGGCCCCAGGGGAACCGCACTGATTGCAGGAAGAGGCCACCCCTCCCTGCAGTGGCCCTGCCCTGAGGCTCCTAGGCAGCCTGCAGGGCCTGACGTGGGTCCCAGCTGCACCGTCCAGAGTGGGGGCGAGGCCCAGTGGGCATCTTGGAGTGGGTGGTGGGCAGTCTGCTCACCAAATGCACAGTGAGAGCCAGAGGGAAAGCCAAGGGAGGCAGGACACCCCCACGGGAGAGGAGAGAAGCATCGAGAAGCCCAGGTGCCATTCCCTCGGTCTGGGAGGGCTACTGGGAGATGCCAATGAGATCGCGCCCGGAACGAGCTTGACACAGACGTAGCACATAGCTGAGTGCTGCCTAAGCATTGGCTACTTCCCTCAGGAACAACCACTTATTGTGAGGGGCGCCTGCCCGCACCAGCCCCCCATGCAGGTGCCGCTCACCACCTGGGAGGGGGTGGCTTGGTACATACCCATCCCTGGTGCTCTCGGCCGTGGGCAGAGGGGACAGATGGTGGGGACCGGTGGCGGCTTCCAGTGGGTGGTGCCTGGAAGGGACGTCGTGCGTGGGGGGCAGGAGGCCAGGTGCGAGCCCATCCTGAGGGGTGATGGAGCCAGGATACAAGCCTGCAGGGAAGCAGACAGATATGTCTGGGCTTTGGCCACTCCCTAGAGACGGCTGTGGACAACCCCGTAGCTGTGCACCTGCTTACGGGGAGAGAGAAGAAGGAAACCAGCCAGGCTATGGCCACAGGTTAGGGGCCCAAACAAGGAGAGGAGGGTCCACTCTGCTCTGCTCGTGCCCTGGCTTCTTGAAGGGCTGTGTGCGGAGCTGAGGCCTGCCCTGGAGCAGAGGCCTGATGAGGGCTGTCAGAGGCCTGGGCATCCAGGTGAGTGTGTGTGTGTGTGTGTGTGTGTGTGTGTGTGTGTGTGTGTGTTTATGGGGACAGGAGGACAGGAGGACAGGGTGGAGCAGCTGCCTCCACCCTCCGGGCTACTTGGGGAAAGAAGGGGCTTGCTCTGGTGCCTGTGTAGCCTCAGAAGCGGAACAGGACTCCTGGACTGGAGAGAAGCAGACTGTGGCTCAGGGCGTGGCCCTGCCTTCTACCGGCCAGAGGCTGTGAGGCAATGGACCACCTTTGGGAAAGCCCATCATCCGGAGATGTGGAGCAGAACCCGGATATCCAAAGAGAGGACTGCTGTGCTAGCGGATGGCAGGCTGGCCCCGGGACCACCGAGAAAGGACGCCATGGATGGTGAGCAGGCCGGACACTGCGCACCTGCTCTCCCAGGTGACAGCAAAGGAAAGTCATGTAAAGCCAGCTCCAGCTCCGGTTCTGGCGGGGACGCCTCAGGTGCGGGCGCCCTGTGGGCTGGCGGAGGCCCGGCTCCGAAGGGGTTCCTGAGGGCCCGCTGCCTCTTGCCCCTGTCCTTACCCTGCCCGTCTGAGGGGCTGCTGCTCCCATGGCAGCGATGCCGTCGTCCACCCACCTACTGCCTCGCTCGCCCTCACCTCCTTCCCCAGCTCGGCCAGGATGGCCCTGGAGGGGGTTCTGAGGATGGCGCTGGCTTGGCCCTGCTCTGCTCACCATGCTCACCGCTATCTTGAACCCATTTGGGGGTCTGATAGCTTGGAAGGCCTCGCATCCTGATAAATCCTGCACCCTCTCCCTCAGCCATGCTGGCCTCACGCTTCTCACGTCCTCCCTGCCCGGGTCTGCTAACGCGGCCCCCAGGAGAAGCCGCTGAGGTTCCCCATGGAGACCACAGGTCCTTCTGCAGAGAGACAAGCTTGCAGGGGCTTCTAGGAGTCAGACAAGGACCATTCAGTGTCCCCCTCCCCAGCACCTCCCTCACCTTCACCCCTGTTCGGGACTCTTCCATCCCAGCCTCTCCCCCAGCTTCCCCAGCCTCAGTCCGGGTCCCCGGGGGCCCCGCCTCCTGAGGATGAACTCATGAATGAGGCATGTTGAACATGTGACCAGACAGTGGATGGAAATGAGGGGATCACCACATCATGATGGGCAGGGAGAGTGGGGAGCCCTGGGGCTCGCTAGGCCTCTCCCCCAAAATGCACCACTTCAGGCTGTAAATCAGCGTCATCAATCATCAGCCCTGAGTGCCTCACCTCTGGCCCTAACATCTGTTCCCCACTCTGCTTCAGGCATCTGCCAGCGCCCACAGCGGAGCCTGGGGCCGGAGTTTAGGAGACCAGGACTCCTGGGTCTGCCTGGCTGTCCTTCCCTCCCCGCTGCCCGAGAAGCTGCTGGAGGTCAGGACCAGCACGGGGCCTGGCACACTTTAGGTGCTCAGTTTGGCAAGGTGTGGCTTAGCAGCCGGAAGCGGCTGACGAGGTGGGTAAGGGCACAGCCTGAACCAGAAGGCCCGGGTACCAGCCTCTGCCATTTACTGGCGATGGGGCCTCAGCAAAGAGCGGCTCGGCTTCACAAGAACCGTTTCCTCACCCGGAAGGGAAAGTGCATTGTGATGGGCAGGGAGGGGGGATGCCACGGGGCTGTCCAGGCCTCTCCCCAAACGCACTCCAGGCTGAAAAACCACGTGCCTGTTGGGGTTTACGTCAGTTAACACTTGTGTGTATGGCACCTGGAACAGCTCCTGCACATACTCAGCGAATGCTGGCTGTGGCATTACTCTGAGATGGATAAGTAAACAGTTTCTCATTCTCCGTGAGCCACAACGGTGTTAATGATGCCGATAAAATGATAAGCCGTTGGGTTTATAAAGGCAAACACGTCCGCAATCACATTTGTCATCATAGCAGGTCTGGTGGGGGGACCTGACGCCCCAGGCAGGGAAGGCATGCTCCCTCGCTGGCAGATGGGCCTGGCAGCTGCTGCCACCCAGCGCTGCTCTCCGGGGTGCCGCCTCTGAGACTGTCTTCAGCTGCAGCAGGGCTCCCTGGACACTGAGTGAGAGGGTGTCTGCCCAGCGGCCAGACCAGCCGAGTGCTCCAGGGACAGTTGTCGCTGGCCCTGGGATGGCACTGGGAGAAGCAGCTTCCCAGCTGGACCTGCTAAGGACTCCGATGGCCTGAGACCTCCCAGGTGAAAACGATGGGCTGCAGGAAGCGACTGCTCCTCAGCCTCAGCCCTCTTCCCTGCTGAGCCTTGTCCTTCTCAACACAGCGCCTCCCGGAGTGGAGTCATTGCCAGCTGTGGGGAGCGGGCACTGGAGGTGTAAGCCTTCACCCCTGGGTGGGTCACCTCCACCGATCCCCTTTGTCCTGCTCTTTTAGCAGCCCTGGCCCTGTGCGAAGCAGCCCCAGGGAGTGGGGAAGGGTGGGACCCTCCCTGAGCTGTCTCCCCCCCCCCCCCCCCCCCCCCCCGCCTCCGCCGTGGGCTGTCTGCACACACACTAAGCGCTCTGACAGTTTCAAATCTGCTGCTACTTCAATTCGGAGAGGGAAGAATAAAAATTTGGAAAATAAAAAATGTTTAAAACGGTTGGAGTAATTCAAGAAATCCCAGAGGGTGGGAAGAGCTTGCTGCTCTGATCCTGTGGTTTCTGGGGCGGAGGGGGGTGGGAGGGTGGGGGTGTGTTGGGGGAAGCAGGGGGGTGTGGAGGGGAGAGTGCTATGTTGTCAGCTGGAAGCCACAGGCCACACTGTCTTGTCCAGGCTGGAGTCCTAGCAAGCGGCCAGGAGTTCCTGCTGGGCCTGAGACCTGCCCGAGGCTGAGACCTGCCCGTGGCTGAGACCTGCCCGTGGCTGGTGGCCATGGGGAGGGCCCTGCAGGCGGCCTTGGGGGACCAGAGGCTCTGAGCCTGCCCAGAGGAGCCTTTGGGAACCCAGAGGCTTGGGGGCATCTCTGGCCACAGAGTTAGCAGTGAGCTGGAGTGACTGCAGTCACGTGGCCACCCTCACACAGCCTCGTCTCTCCTCTGAGCACGGAGTCTGGGGGGAGTGTATGGGGCTTCCAGGCCTGACTAAGGCAGGTCCTGAAGGAAGGGCAGGGGCTGCCTTGGTGGAGAGGAGGCAAGGGGTGGCTGGTGAAGTGTGTACTCGGCTCTGAGGAAAGAGGGAGCACAGGATGTTCAGGAAACTGCATCCAGTATGCCGGGGGGGGGGGGGGCAATCAGGAGGCGCCAGGAGCACCAAAGTTGCGAGGTCTTGGAGGCCAGGCTGAGTGGAGCCCGGCTTCCTCCCCTGGGCAACAGAAGCCACAGACGAGTGTGAAGGAAGCCATGCCAGTATCGCCCCGTGGTCCCACAGAGCATCACTGTCTTCCTGTGGGGCTGGGCGGCAGGGAAGGGCCCTCGGGGCTGTGAGCCTGGCCCTGCCTCCCAGCACGCATACCTGGCAGCAGCTCCTGGCCCAGGGCTCGGCCCCCCTTCCCGTCGCCGCTGGCCGCCAGCTGTGCGGACGCGTGGAGCTGCTGCAGGGCCAGGCACTCGGTCAGGACGTCGGCCTCAGCGTCAGGGCCCGCGTGCAGCTGGGGAGCAAGCACAGGGAGAGAGGGTGTTAGCAGGAGACCGCCGGCCCCCAGCAGCCTCACTTTAGGGGATAGAGCGGGAAGGATGGTGGCCCCAGGGCAGGACCCTTCACCTCACGGTGCCTCCCTTCCCTCATTTGTAAAATGGAGCTAACTGTGTCCCTCAGAAGGTTGTGCTAGTTCAGGCGTGAGAAGCAGATGCTAAGACGAGACTGACCGGGCAAGGATTTTGACGGGGAATGTTTACGTGAGGGCTGGGCAGGCTGGGAGAGATCAGACCACCTTACAAGTCTGATCCCACGGGCAGGGAGGGGAAGGGAGTTGGTGGGAGATTCCTAGGCGGGTCATGGGAAGGGGTCTTGCCTCGGCACCAACATTAGGATGGGTGTCAACAGCGCAGCTGGGACCCCCCAGAGCACGTTCTGTAGCTGCCACAGAGCGAAGGGGCGAAGTGGGAGTGAAATAGAGTCAGTCGTACGTCCAGTGATTCCCACCTGCCTACACCGCCCCCACCATTTTTCTTTTCTTGGCATAGACTCAGTGGAAATAGTCCAGGGGCAGGGACAGGAGACCTGGGTTCACATCCTCCTCCATCTCCCCTTCTTCCCTGTGGACATTGGGCCAACAGCCTCTCTGGCTCTCCTGTCCCCTGTCTGTAGCAACAATAATCCCCTTGCCCTGGGCCGCTGTGAGGACCAACACAGGATGGTGCAAGCACACTGCTGCACGTGCTGTGTGAAGGTCTAGCTGACAGCAGCTGGCTGCGTCCCACAGGGTCCCACCGCAGGCACTCAACCCCTACACAGCCCTGAGCTCACTGCCTCAGAGCAAGGCTGGGCTGGCATGTCTTTGGCCAACAACCCTCAGCTGTCCCTTGAAGACAGACTAGAGCCTGGCGCCTCTCCAGATGGGGACGGAGCGGGGCTGAGTGGGGACCCTCGGCACACTGGGTGAGGAGTGGGCATGCACCTGGACGGGAAGGGCCCCTTCTCCCAAGGAAGTCCCAAAGCCCGACTCTGAGAACCCTGAAGACGGACTCATCCAAATCCTCACTTTACCAAGGACAGGCCCAACCAGGAGAAAGCGAGAGCCGTGCCTCATGTCGCACTGCGGCTGAGCATCAGCCCGAGGGCTCTCCCACCCTCTCAGCCCAGAAGGGCCAGCACCCAGGTCTGGGGAAGGCATGCCCAGCCTCCCAGTGGGCTCTCAGCTCCTTGACCCAGCAGCTGTTTTCCATGTAAATTAAGTTTCTGGCAAAGAAGGGCCCGAGCATGCCTCGCAGACCACAATGTCGATCGGATTAGGAGCAGCGGGAGAGGAGAATTAAGGGAGAAAAGCATTTCTAATTCTCCCTGAAACGCAGTGGGGTTGCCAAGGAGCTGTCATAATACAAGGGTCGCCTTACCCAGAAAGATACATCATCCCCGATGGCTCGAAATGGATGCTTATTGTTGGGAGGTTTGCAGCTTGAGGCTCCGGGTCCCTGGGGCCCGGTGTGAGCCAAGCATGGGGCCTGGGAAAACCAGGGCAGGATTCGGGTCCTCGGGCACCAGGCCGCCGGGGACAGAGCATCCCTGGCCTGGAGCCTGGGCTAGTCAGCCCCTGTCCCCACTCAGGCCCCTCACAGGAGAGGGGTGGAGAGAGCTCAGACCCTGGCTCTGTCACTCCCACGCTGCACAACGCTGGGCAGATCTGTGAACTCTCCGAGCCTCCGTGTCTACATCTCCAAAATGGGAAGAACAGTGCCCACTCCCTAGGCCCGAAGGAGACACAGTCCATGAAGCCCCAGACCCGGGGTTGAAGTTAAGACGCCCTCCATTCCTGGGAATGTGGTGTTTTTCACCCCTAAGCTCAAGGCGCCTGCTTTGACTATGTCCCTTCCCTGCTCTCCTGCTTCTGGCCCCAGTGCCTGCAGAAGGAAAACCAACGTCTCAAGCCCGGCTGTCTCCCCACGACCGTCTCTCCCACTGCTTGCTCCATCCGGCACCCAATCTCGGCACCCCCAGCCCGTGCCTAACGCGGCCTGTGCTTCTCCAGTCTCCAGGCCTGTCTCTGCTTTATCCTCGGCAGCACCCGGAGCTCTGAGGACAGCTATGAGACAAGGGTGTTCCCTAAATCCTGCTGAGCAAGCGAATGGCTCTTCCCGCTCGGTCACACCGACATCCCCGACTGGGCCCTGATTTTTCTCTTCACCCCATACCCTCCCTGGCTCGCAAGTGTGCCCACTCCCATGCCCCAGGAGCACAGTACACAGTATGGGTAAAACACCCCCAAGTCGCGGCCCGGTCCCTTCCGCTGTTTGGGGCCCCTCAGCAGTTCGCACACTCCTTGTCCCAAACGGAACCCACTGCTTTCTCCTGCAAACCCCCTTCTTTCGTAGCTTCTCTGCCCTGGTCAGCGGCACCGCCCTCCCGGCTGCCCCTCCATGTCTGTCTCTGGTGCTCCTCTGCCCCGGGCTGTTCTAAACCCTCCGGGGTGTGTATTTACTCACTGAGGCCTCGTGGCCACCCAGGGAAGCGGATCCTCAAATTGCCCGACTGGACAGCCGAGGAGCACGAAGGGGGAAGGTACTAAGAAACGAGCCCAAGGCCACAGGTAGTGGGGTGAGCCCGGCAGGCTGGCTCCGGACCTCACACCCCTGCTCCTGGTGTGATTTCTTCTGAGACCCTCCGGTTCCCACCCTGACCGGCGAAGGCCCCCTCCTCTGTGCCCCTGACCATTCTCAGTGTGCCCCTTCTGCAGGCTTTATTAAACTACACTGAATTCACTGTCTGTCTGTCTGTCCGTCCGCCACCCACCAGGTCCCCACTAAAGATGGGGACCATGGTTTTCCATTTTTTGCCCTACACAGTGCCTGATGTCAAATGTTTAACAAGTAGCCACAGTGCAAAGGGATGAGAGGAGTGGGGTGGTCTGTCTGGCTGGAGGGGGTGAGGATGTAGGTTCGGGGTTGGGGCGTGTGAGCAGAGGGTGGGCGATGGACGGCAGCATCCTCGGTGGGTGGAAGGGCGAATGCACACGTGGGGTGCGGGCTCCTGCGTGAGGCTGGACATGGGGCCGGGAGGCCCGGGGGAGTCTGCAGCGCGGGGCCTGCAGCAGAGGCCGTCTTACCTTCTTACGCACCTGCTGCTCTTTGGCCGAATGGGCCTTCACGTGCTTGCGGAGGGAGCTGGGGTCCGTGTAGCGCTTGGAGCAGCCAGGGATCTGACAGGCGTATGGCTTCTGCAACATCAGAGCAGAGTGGGTGAGCGAGGGGCCACCGCCGGGCCCAGGTCCTGCTGTGTGGCCTGGGGTGGGGGGAGGGGGAAGGATGGCTGGCGAGGGGCAGGCTGCAGGCTCATGCCTGGCCCTCCCTCTGTGTCCCTGGTCCGGAGGGGGTCTGACTCCGCCAGCCCTGCTGAGAGGTTTGGGGAAGGAGCCCAACCTGGTAGTGAAGGAGGGGTCTGTGTGTCACTCTCACACTGGGACCTCGATCAGTTGCCTCTCCTCTCTGAGACTCTTTTCTCCTCTGCAGAATGGGGCCCTCTGAGGGTCCTCCCAGCTCACCCTGGCTCTGAGAAAGAACACCCTTCGCAGCTCAGAGCTGCAGAGAGGCAGCGAGAGAGGAGGAGGAGCAGGAGGAGGGGGAGGAAGGGGAGGGGAAGGGGAGAGAGGAACAAAGAGGGACAGCATGGGGAAGAGGGCACGGTCATGGTATCAGCTGGGATATGGCAGGGCCCTTGGCTAGGAGCAGCTGACTACCCTGGCAGTGGCGCCAGAGTCCCCAGACTGCCTCTGGTCCTTCCCCGACCATCACGGGAGGCCAGGAGGGAAGTGGGTCTCAGACACAGACCTGGGGCGGCTGAGCACCTGCGCCCTTTGTGCCCCTTACCCTCAGGGCTCCCATCGCTCTCCCTGAACAAATCCATGCCCACGGCCTCCCCTGGTTCCCGCCTGGACCCCACCTGCTCTCTGTGCCTCCAACCTCCCCCCACAGAGCTGGCCCTGCTCTTCCAAACCCTCCATGACCCCCTGGTGTCCCGGACACAGCCCATCTCTGGCCATAAAGACCCTTTGTCACGTGGGCCCTGCTTATGTCTTCACTCCTCCTGCTGCCCCGCCTCTGGCTCCCATCACCTCCCTCCGAGCCCTCCTCCACTCTCCTTCTACCTCCTCTCCTGAGCTTCCCACGGAGGCACCGTCCACCGGTGCTGCTGGGCTTGCCCAGCCTTATTCCCAAGACGGACCAGGACAGGGCTCTGTGGGCATCACTGGGTTCTGGGCTCTCCCATGAGGCCTCCACAGCACCCTGCTCGGGGACTCCAGCGGTCACTGGGCTCGAACTTCCCCGGCTTCCCCCCCTTTTTTTTTTTAACACACCCAGTGGCTCTGACTTCTCACGGTCCTTGGACCTCCGGTGTTGGTAGGGGGTCAAGAGGAAGTTTGGTGGATGCAAGAGGTGGATTTTGTATCAGGAATTGCTATGCCCGCCGACCCACAAGGTAACCCTGCCCTCTGGACCCCGGTGAGGCTGGCTGGCCTCGGACCCATCTCGTGGGGAGAGGAAAGCAGAGACAACCATACCTTGGTGCTGCCACGGAGAGTTGCCAGTTAAAGAAACGGAGGAGAGCAAAAAGAGAGACAGGGCAGTGAGCAGCTGGCCTTGCTGGAAGGAAGGTATGGGGTGGGAGGGAGACAGTCCTCCTCAGACCCTCCCACTCCCCCACAACCTCACAGAGATGCAGACATGCATGCACATGCAGACAGACAGACAGACATAGGGCCCTTTCCTTAGGCTTAACCCCCACCCGACATAGGCATAGACACACACAGTCCTCTCTCACGGGCCTCAGCCCATCCCGAGTCTCTCTCTCTTGCTCTCTGCTCTGCCCGGCTCCGGGCCCCGTCCCTTGGGGATGCTGATACAGATCCACACGCTTTTGTCAAAAAGCAAACAAACAGAGCTCCGTGTGTGCAGCACACTTGCCGGAAAGAGGGCACCAGGCCCAACTCCCTGATTGTTTTTCCAGGGCCTGACGTGTGCAGAACATTCCTCCGGCCCGGCTCCCCCACACGCCCTCAGGAAACCCTGCGCGTGCCCCTGCGGCAGCCGAGTCCCAGGCCTGGAGACCCGGCTGCGGCTCTCAGGGCCCGCTGTGAGGAAGAGCCGTGCCGCTCACAGAGCCTCCTGCCCGAGCTCCTGAGCGAGCGCCTTCCCACAGGCCCCTCTGAGCATCTGCCGTCCCCCCTCCTCCGGGCTCACACCGGCCCTGGGAGAAGCCTCTCCACTCTGCAGATGAGGAAACCCAGGTGGAGGCTGTGACGCCTCTAGATCCGCAGCCCTGAACGGTCCAAAGGAGTGGGCAAAGGAGGCGACCAGCCCCGCCTTGCTGATGGGGAAACTGAGGCCAGAGCAGGACAGTGGCTTACTTAGGAAGTCTGTACTCTGGGTGCCTGGGACACAGCCGGATTTGACCAGCATTCTGTCAGGGCGTCATAGGACAGGAAAGGAGGGACTCACATTGGCAGTGCAGACGGTGCATCAGGCTAAACACCCATCGCTGCCGTCGATTCCCATCTCTCTCTGGCAAGGCTGGGGGTTGAGGACACTGAGGCCCAGAGAGGAGAGGGGGCATCCCGTGGACCCCAGGGTTAGGACCCAGGCTGGTCCTCTCCAGGCTGTCCCACCACTTTCCTGCCCACGGGGAGAATCCATGCTCTCTGGGGCCAGAGAGGAGGCAGGGACAGGACCCGGTTTCCTATAGAAAGAAGATCTAGCCGAAACCGGTTTGGCTCAATGGATAGAGCGTCGGCTTGGGGACTGGAGGACCCGGGTTCGATTCCGGTCAAGGGCATGTACCTTGGTTGCGGGCATATCCCCAGTGGGGGGGTGTGCAAGAGGCAGCTGGTCGATGACTCTCTCTCATCGATGTTTCTAACTCTCTATCTCTCTCCCTTCCTCTCTGTACAAAATCAATAAAATATATTAAAAAAAAAAAAAGAAAAAAAAGAAGAAAAAAAAAGAAAGAAGATCCAGACTCCACAGGCTGACCCTCTGGGCTCTGAACCTCAGGTGCTGGGGAAGCAGCCTCGCCCTGCAGAGCTGCTCGAGGGGATGGGCGCAGGCAGGGGCCGGGCATGGTGGCTGTGCCTCCAGGGATTTCCCAGGACCCACTGGAGCAATGAAGGCTGGGAAAAGGGCTCATTCAGGGCCTGACCTGGCCTAGCCCCGAGCTGTTCACACGCCAAGTGGGGGCCAGAGGCCTGTTGCTTCAGGGCTGGGTCCAGGAAATGCAGTGCAGAGGGAGGGAGAAGGGGGTAAGTCAGGGTGGGTGACCCCAAGAGGCCTGGAGGGACGCTGCCAGGCCTGGGAGGGGGGTGAAGAGAAGCCTGGGCTACTGGGACTGCCTGTGACCTCTGGGAGATGTAACCAGGGGCCTGGCTAGGCCCCAAGGGCAAGGGCTAGGCGTAGGAGAAGGTAATGACAGCAGGGGAGCTGCTAGCACCCCTTCCCTCCCTGCATGTCCCCAACACAGCCTGTCAGTGCAGCCTGAGAGGGAGGTGGTGGGGGGTCGGGTTCAGGTTGGGACAGGGCTCTTCTTAGCCCCGTCCTGACTGCTCAGCTCCAACAAGGCACCCTGCTGCCCCAGCAAGGGCACTGGGCGTGGAGTAAGAGAGACGCGGGCTGCATCCCAGCTCTGCCACTTAGCTTCTGGGTGACAGCCAATGCCTCCATCTCCCCGGGTCTCTGTTTCTTTGCAAAATGGGGATCACGGACCCCACCTTGTGGGGGAAGGTTTGTGTGATATGGGGGTGAGGGGAAATGTGTAGGACATGCTGCCTGGGTCCCGCCTGGACCCAAACATGACCCTGCTATTTTCTGACATCCCCCATCCTTTTTTGGGTCTTAGTTTTCCCAGCTATAAAAGAACGGGCTTGGACCAAAAGGACCCCGCTCTGACCTCTGCCGTCTCATGGCCTCCAGCTTACCCCGGAGGGGCTGGCTGCCCTCTGGGCCTCTGTTTCCTCATCTGCACACCTGTGCCCTGGACAGGCTGAGCCGAACAGCCACGCAGGTCTCCCGGCCCCCCACCTGCAGAGTTCCCCAAACATGTGCATGAAGAGCAGGGACACAGGCAGGAGGCCCCAACGTCGACTCTGGCTGCAGACCCGCCTTCTGCGGCATGCAGGGGCTGGGGTCCTCCCAAGCCTTGTGCACCCCCTCACACAGGCCCTGCGAGGCTACATGAGGCTCGCCCCCGAGTCTTTCCCGCTGAGCAGGCACTGACGCTCCCAAAGTCCCCTTCCCTCACCTGGAGGACGGGTTAGAGACTCCCGACTGGCCTTCAGTGAGGTCAAGGGAGGCCATAGGAAGGGCTCTCTGGACCGCCGAGCGCCGCTGTGGGCACAGAGCGCATGCTTGGGCAGCAGGTTACCCCACTGTCTGGCATAGACAAGGGAAAGGAGGTGACGGACAGGCACCTTGGTCCGGTCACTATTCCAGGGGCTGGCGTCTTGGGCCCTGTTCACCTCAACTCCTCACCCACTGGGCTCCAGGGGTAAAGAACAGCCTGTCTCCGCAGAGGGAGTGGGGTGGAAGGAGCAGGGAGGACCTGCGCTGGGGGTGGCCGATCACTTAGGCCTGGCGACAGGACGTGGGATGGCGAGCCCACCTCTCCCTGGGGAGGTGCAAGGGCGCTGGTGCCCCAGCAGAACCCACAGTGGTGAGAACATTGCCATGTGGGGGAGACTTCACAGTCTCCTCCCCAGGACACTGGGCAATGTCCAGAGACACCTCGGGCTGTCACAGTGGGAGATGGGTGATCACTAGTGGACAGAGGCCGGGGACCCAGCACACCCTCTAATGACTGGACTTCCCTCTCTCCCCAAACTGTCCTCCTGCCCAAACGTCAGTCGGGCTCCAGGATGAAGGTGGGGTTTCTGCAGGCCCCGGCTCCCGCCTGCATCAGACAAGTGTGGGAGTGTGCACATCCCCCCACTTCCCCTTCCCCGCTCCCTCGGGCCTACCGTGTCGAGGTGGGTGCGCTGGTGCTTGGCGCGGTCGCTGGAGTTGCTGAAGGCCTTCTGACAGCCCGGGTGCTGGCACAAGTATGGTTTCTCGCCCGTGTGGCTCCGCAGGTGGATCTTGAGGTTCTCCAGCCGCGAGAAGGCCTTGCTGCAGCCTTCAAACTGTGGGAGAGGCCGGTGAGGAGCGCTCTGCCGCCCCAGGGGGCCCCGCTCCCAACCTGGACATGCCCCCAGCATCCTCTGCCCTCCCCACGCCTCACACCCTGTCCGTCCTGCCCAAGGCCTCCAGGCACCCTGTTAGCTCCCTGTGAAGTGCTCAGGGCCCAAACTCTCTCTGGGAAGCCCTGGTAGGTTCAGAAAAAGGGCACCCCGACTTACAAATGGCCTCTAGGCTACCGAAGTCAGGGGTCTTTCGGTCGGTGGATCTGGAAGGAGCCCTGCCCCAGTGGCTGGACAGCCAAATGGCAGGGCACCTTGTAGCGCATATAGCCCTGGACCTCCCTATGCCTAGTCCTTGCCTGCAAACGTGAGACTGTGGCCACCACTCAGGGCGATAGGAGAGCCCGAGGGGCAGGACCCTGGTGGTCAGGGGCTCTGTCCACCAAAGGGCAGCACCAACACTGACCGCCGTTAGAACAGTGGCCATGCTGAAACCCCACCTTCATCCTCAATGAATCGTTTGGCCATTTAGCCGTCCAATGCCCACCACATACCAGGCCCCATGCTGGGCAGGGGACGTGCAGTGGGTGCAGCACAAACACCCAAGGCCTCTGGTCAGAGAGGGGTGGGGTGTATGGGGAGCACCTAACGCAGCACCCTCTGTGGTCCCAGGTTGCCCGGGTCCACAGCCGCTGCCCAGGCTGACTCTCCCTGCAACCCCCTAACTCCTAACCCCCCTCCAACCTCTCTCCCCTGCTGCCCAGAGGAAGGTTCTGATGCAGATGCAGAAACTCCTGTGCATTCTGCTTGAAGCCCCTTGGGCCTGGCATTCGCACGCCTTCCTGCCCCTCGTGGCTCCCACCCACACGCTGCAAACAACAGGAGCCACCAGGCGATTTCAAGGCTTTGTTCACACAAGTCCCTCAGTGGGGACTGTCTTCTCTCTAGTAACAATCCCCCGAGCCTTCAGAGGACTTCCCGCCACCGGGACTGGCTACTCCCTCCTGCTTTCCCCACTGCCGCCCTGTCCCCACGGAGCTGCTGGGGGTGAGGGGAGACGGACACTGACCCGCACCACCTCGGTCCCTGCAGACCTGGTGCTGGGTGTTGGACAACCATGAAGTGTAGGGTCTCAACACCCCCCCCCTCAGAGACGAGGCTTCCTGTGCTGGCCACAGGGCTGGGACAAGGCAAAGAGGACGCAGGCCCCATCGGATGCCAGTGCCTGGGGACTCTTCTCACAGCTGCCTTCCCGGTGCCGGGCAGGGGAAGGGACCCTCCAGGAAAATAAGACCAGAGGAGGCCAGTTCCCTCGGGAGCCCTGGATTTCAGCCCCTAGGCCAGGGCTGAGCTGCCTGCCAGGTCAGGACCCCGTTCCCCACGCCTCTGGGCCAGGCAGCGTGTCCCCGGGGCCAGTGCTCCCACAGGGTTTGCTCAGGCTGCTCTGCGGGAGGAAGGAGCAGATAGCTCCTGCCTGCCCACTGGAAGACGTGGCTCCCCCTTTCTGAGCTGGGCCCTGGGCTCTTTTGCCTCCATCTCCCAACCTTAAAGCCCATTTTCTCAGCCTTAGGAGGTCCCATCCCATCTGGGCAATACAGCACCTTGGTCACTTCCCATGCAGGCTGCTGGTCAGACAGACCGGCCCAGCCCTGTGCTGGGGGAGGCCGAGGCAGAGAGAGCCCAGATGTGGGTCCTCTTCCCAGGAGGGCGGAGCCCGGGGAGGCACGCACACCGTCGGAGCAGAACACACGGCCATAGCTGTCCTGGAAGCAGAGGCGGCTCAGAGGCGGCACCCTCCTGCCTGGGGATGGAGGGGCGCTACCACGTGGGGGGCAGTATGTGCTGGGTGAGACACACAGTCAGTCATGCCAACACTGATACATTCGCCCCATTCAATCCCGGCTGAGCCCTGAGCAGTGCCCAGGACACCATGGAAGAGGAGGCAGAAGAGGAGGTGAACAAAAGGAAGGCCGAGGGGAGGCAGCCACGGGCACGCAGTGTGGGTAGGGCAGAGCCCATGGAGGCCCCTCTGTGGCTGGGTGTAGGGTACATGTTGAGAGTGTGGGTTGGGCGCTAGTGGGTGAGAAGCCTCCAGGAGATCAGAGGCCAGAGGAGGGGGGGGGGCTCCGACACAGGACTCCTCCTGGGGACAGGAACCATGAAAGCTCCTTGAGAAGGGAAGACACAGGTCACCCCGCCCCTACACACACACACACATACACACACACACACACACACGCTCACACACACACACACACACTCACTCACACACACACACACACACACTCACACACACACACACACTCACACACACTCACACACACACACACTCACACACACACACACATGCTCACACACACACACACTCACACACACACACACATGCTCACACACACACTCACACACACACACACACTCACACACACTCACTCACACACACATACACTCACACACACTCACACACTCACACACTCACACACACACACTCACTCACACACACACACACTCACACACACACACTCACTCACACACACATACACACACATACACACACACACTCGCACACACACACACACACACTCACTCACACACACACACACACTCACACACACACACATACACACACACGAACACACACACACACACACACACACACACACTGGCTGCTGGTGACCAGGGCTGGGAGAGGGGAGCGGGGACTGGGGGAGGTGGGGGAGAGGCAGGGGTGGCGTCACAGACAAAGGTCACTGGGGCTGGAGCTGAGGCAGAAGTGGCGGCGGGTGGGGTGGAAGCCAGGCTGGACGTGCCCCAGAGGTGAGGACAGGACCCAGAGACACCGACCAGCCCGGGCGAGCTCCCTTCACACCTCGCCCTCGAAGCCCAGCCACACGTGCGGGTCGAGCTCTTTGGGGGCGGGTCCAAGGCCAGCCGCCCACAGCTGGGTTTTATTTATTTATTTTAATATATTTTATTGATTTTTTTACAGAGAGGAAGAGAGAGAGATAAAGAGCTAGAAACGTCGATGACAAAGAAACATCGACCAGCTGCCTCTTGCACACCCCCTACTGGGGATGTGCCCGAAACCAAAGTATGTGCCCTTGACCGGAATCGAACCCGGGACCTTTCAGTCCGCAGACCGACGCTCTATCCCCTGAGCCAAACCGGTTTCGGCCTACAGCTGGGTTTTAGAGGCTGTTCCCCTTCCTGCTTCCAGATGTTGTGCCTTTTTCATGTATGACAACCATAAGGAAACCCTTATTGGGGAGTAAACAGGCCACAAGCTGCCCCCTTGCCCTCCCCCAATGGCCTGCAGCCAAGTTCATCCCAATGTGAGGTGGGGTGGGGGGGCTCAACTCATCCCGTTATTCCGCTCTGGCCCGAGCCAGGAGGCAGCCACCTGAAGCCGAAGGGCAGTAACGTCTCACGTGCTGTGTGATTTCTCTGGGTTTGGGGGGGAGGGGAGACCTGACTCTGAAGATCGGTATGTCATCTCCTCCCCACCAGGGCTTGTAAGCCCTCTGTCTCAGCACGGTTGTTCCCAGACCAAGCCTGAGCCCCTCCTCACACACCTTCCCTCCCTACTCACTGACAATTTAATCCATACAGTTTTCAAAAGCCCTGGATCTGTAGCTTGTTCATGGTCGTCTGGCACCGCTCTCGTCTGCATATCCCAGGTGCCATGCTACAGCCACAGGGAGGGTCCACAGAACTGCCCTGAACAGCACGCCCCAGGCCTGGCTGAGCTGTTCCCTCGTCGGGACCCTTTCTTTCCTCCCTCCACTCAGCAGACATCTGCTCCCTCTGCTCAACCTTCCCACCGCCCGGCCCCTCCCTGGCCACACCCTGCATGCGTGGGTTAGGTTTTTCCTGCACCCTCACTGTGGTCTGCTCTCCACGTCTCCAGGATGAGGGTTCCTGAGGGCAGGACTGGCACCTCAACCAGGGAGCAAAGGGTGGCTTACACATGCCATCCAATGGGGGTAAGAATAGGGATGCCAGGACCTGGGGGTGCATGTGTCCTTGTGGGTGCACTTCCTCCCTCCATGTTCATCAGGGTACCCCATACCTGTGCCTGTGCCCATGACTTCTCCTGCCCCCGATACTTCCTGGAGCGGAGTTGCAGGTGGGGTATAAGAAGCAGGCTGTTCTGATTTGGGGAGGAGGGGGGGCTGTCTCTCTAGACAGAATCAGAGGTAGCAGCAGGTGGAAAAGGATGCTGCTCATTGGGGCTGGTCTGGGTGAGGACACTGCAGGGACCTCTGGCAGAACAATGCCCCTCAGGGCCAGTATCCCAGTCACACCAGGGCCCTGTGGGTGTGTGCTCCCTGCTGCCCTCCCCATTCTACAACCGCACGGATGGGCTACTAGGGATGAGGGCAGGAACATTCCTGGGTTCAGCACCCTGTGTGCTGGCTCTGCTCAGCCCGATGCTGCCGCTTGCACAATCTCCATCCTCTCCTCGGCCTATGTGACAAGTACTCCTCCCCTCGGTCAGGAACTGAGGTGGGGGCAGGGGCACCAGCACCGTGGTTACAGCACAGACTCCGGGTGGATTGACCTGGGCTTGGGCTTAACGGCTCCACTTGTGAACGATCCCAGGCAAGTCCCTTCAATTCCTTGGACCTCGGTTTCCTCGTCCATAAAATTAGGTGAGTTCTACCAAACATGGATGAATGAAATAATGTACAGGAAGTGCTTTTCTTGACACCAAGTTCCTGCCCAATATTGTTGCTGTGACTATCATTTAAGGTCACAGGGCAAGTAAGTAGTGAGTGGCATTCTGCCTGGGGTGGCCACGCCCAGGTCTGTTGCCCCTCTGCCCAGTGGAGGGGGCCTGTGTTGCGTGATGGGCTCCCATGTCCTGTTTCCATCCCTTACTCCTTAACCCCTCCCCTTATTCCCCAGCCAGACCTGAGCTGTCTTCGCTCACCTCAGGTTTCACTGACCACAGAGCTAACGAACAGAAGCCATTGACTGGTCTGCCCTAACGCCCCCAGGAGCAG